TTTTTTGTCGGAATTTTCTGAAATGTTCTTTACACTAGCTTTGTACCATTGATCCAACTGTGCAAAACCTCGCAAGACAAATTCAAAACGCAGAAGTTTAACAAACTAATTAATCACTATGCATTAGCAAACATCCAGAAAGAAAAGGATAAAAGCTGATGTGATTATAAAGGAGAGCAGTTTGCTTCCAAGGTCAGGGCCTTGAAGAAAGAATAAACTAATTTCAAAATAATTGTTATTCAGTGCTTAAAGACACAATTTTGCTGTACCAAACAAATCCAAAACTTTTTCTTTGAAAACAATAATGAAGATATTAGGGTAAATAAACATATTTCCTTTTTTAAAAAAAAAAATAATAATAATGTAAATAGCAGAAATAAATGCACCACTAGTAGTATAATACTACCCTGTCTGAAGAAATTGTCTAATACGACAGATAGTCCTTGAAAAAATACAAAAAGAGAAATTAAATAAAACCGTTAGCATTCTTGTTGGAATATCTGAGTTATTGATCAGCCTTCCTGAACTGTGTGACTGGAAGTATTCAGCAGAAACTCCAGTTTGGATCTGGAATTAAACTCATCGTCTTCAACAGTGAGTAAAAACTCCTAATTACAAACCTTGAAGAAATATAAAGCATATTCAAACCAACAGCATCTCAATCTGCATTTAATCTCATCATCAAGTCCTTTAAAAGTTTTCATTGATTTGGAGAAGAATGTATGAAGTCACATCATCAGCATAGAGAAATAACTGCTACTCTTACAACAGCTATTCCAATCTTTATTGCATAATGTATCTATTAGTTGTCTGTTTTTATCTTTCACAGTTTAAGGCTTAGGAGACTCTGCTTCCCATATTTGCATTTAGGTGTAATGTTGTTAAATTTTCTGAACAAAAAAAACCAAACTCATTTATTTGGCAATGTTTGCAAATTTGGTGTAGTTTAAGTTAAATTACTTTATATCAACACTGTAAATCAAACCGTAGTTTTATTTGGATTCAAGAGCTGTATATTGAATTTTAAGAAGAATATTGTCGTTTTACTTACTAAGGGTTCAAAAAGTATTAATTCTTCAATTATGAGAAGACAGTTTGCTTATTTATGAGATTACTGGGTGTTTTTTTCAGTAGAGTTCAAACATGAAGAGTTTTAAAGCTCAGAGGTTTGCGAGCTGATAGTGTTTACAGTGTGAATGGCGGTGCAGGGAAGCTCACCTTTGGGAAAGGAACTAAACTCCTCATTCAGTCCAGTAAGAATACGATTAATATTTATACTTGTTAGAATTAAACTAGTAATTATACTTGTTTTATTGCTAGAGAATGATAGTCAGTTTATTTCAGGTAATTTTTCATAATGTCCTTAATATTATCATCATAGCATTGATTCAACTGTCTAAACTTCCCTGAAATCATTTAAAAATAATTTCTGATTCAGCACTTGAATTTATTTTGCTATAACAACCAAATTCCAAAGCTGTATTTAATTCTGCCAATCTAAATTTGCTCCTTTTGCGAAGCTAGGAATATATGTCGTTGCATTATATGTGTGATTTATCGTAATCGTATTAGTCTAATGTGAGTGTTTGATTAACAGAACAGACGTAATCTGCAGCTCATTCGAACCTAAACATTTCCAAAAGAATCTAGCAAGCCGTCCAGGGGAGGTCACAGTAAAAACATACTGTAACTAAACTTTGCGTTCAAGCCTCTGTTGACGTTATGAAGCGTTTCGATGTGTGACTGATGGGACTGGAAGGCTGACGTTTGGACGAGGAACTGAACTGAAAATACAACACAGTAAGACTGTAGAATCTATTAAACTGTACTGAACTAAAACAGTCATTGATAAGTTTGGGGAAAAAAATAAATAAATAACATTATTCACATCAAAGGACTTGGATATTTAAGGAGAAATAGCACTACCTTAGTGGAGAAATACTCCTTTTCAAATAAAAGTCAAAAAATAAAAAAAAGCGTTAGCATCGATATATATATCAAAAGTAAGAGTGCTCATTTGGCTGAATATGTTTTTTGTATGTAAATTATAATCATTGCTACACCAGTGTGTTCATCAAACCTAAATGTTGCAGCTGATAAAGGTGATTTAACTACATTATAGCTGCCGGGTAGTTAGTTTCTGTCAGCAGGTTATTGTTGAGGTTTCATGCAGAGTGTGACTAACAACAACGTGAAAATGACTTTCGGTTCAGGAATTCAGCTGAGAGTTCAAACACGTGAGTAGCAAAGTTAAATAAGGAGTTAAAGTCAAACTTATTTTTTTGTCTATTACCACCGTTTTGTTGGCTCTGCTGATATTCTGCATTACATGATACACTTAAACATGTTGTGTTTCTGAATTCTGCTCAGATCAGCAGCCGCTTTTTCTTTCTGACGAACTCACCTAACACTCAAGCTCTGACACTGTTTTAATGAATCTGAATGAAGCAGGGACAATGAGGAATTTCTGCAGCTCTCGCCTTGACTCAAAAACACTGATTTTACAAACAGGCTGGTTTTAAAATTCCGACATTAAATAATCAACATAAGCTTAAAAAGCATCAGCGATGAACTAAAGATATGTCAGGATAAGCTGCTGATTTAGAGACCTAACAGACTGAAATATGAAAACAAAAACAGTGTTTTAGTGAAGCAGTCGTTTGGATAAACCACTGGTGGTTTTCGTTGTGGACGTGATGAATGTGTGAATGCTGGAGTCAAGTTTACTTTTGGAAACGGGGTCAAACTTCACGTCCAGGCTCGTAAGTTTTTACTGAATAGGATTGTCAAAGATGTCCGAAAGTCTGTTTTTTGTCAAGTGAAGTCGCTAAAAGCACTGGAACTAAAGTGGAAAGTAAAAGGCTAGAGATAAAGTGATGAATGATGTCAGGATTCTGTAAAGTCTCATTTTTGCAGCGCCTTATTTTATTTATTTCTTTTACATCTTCACCACCAAACAACAATCTGTCAACTAAAACTAATATCATGATGCTAATATCAAGACTGAAGCAAAAATAATAGGAACATAAATGTTAATCAAGATGAAAGCAACGGCTGTTTGGTCTCTGATTTTCTGTACGATAACGTCAACAAACTACAATGAAACAAGAAGCCACACAGTTATAAAATAATAAGTGACTGGTTATTTGTAAAAACTACATTTCATTTTGAAGGAACATTTGGAAACAGACGGATGTGTAAGAGCTGCATTAGTTTTTGTAACTGGGTTAGTTCCTGTGTGAATAACGACAATTTCAAAACCGTATTTGGACGTGGAACAAAACTGATCGTGTCGTCCAGTAAGTGAATCACTGTATTTTTCTTTAAGTAGAAATTCTTACATCAGAATGACTTGAAAACCGGAAAAGCCTTGATAATGCTGCAGTCATTTTCTTCTCTTTAACTGTTAAATTACACACATCAACGCTACGGATTCGCTTACGATGTGAAATAGTTAAGGTTTCATTAACAGAGACGTACCTGATTTATTTATTTATTTATTTATTTTAACAAAACCCAAACCAATTGCGATCATAATGAATGATTTCTATATATCATTTACCAGATAAATAGGAGCAACAACAAAGTGTGATTCGGCTCACAGTAAACAAACTTTGGTTTTTGTACTTGTGCAACCTGCTGTGTGAATTACGACAACAACAAAATCCTGTTTGGACTCGGATCAGAAGTGATTGCTGAGTCGAGTGAGTAAAATAAACCTTTCTATTAAGTTTAGGATACTTTAATGACCATGGCAGCCTTTTGTAGAATCGCCATTTATGAAAGAAAGTTCATCCAAAGCAAATTTGCTCACAAAACTATTTAGAATGTATCTAAAAGTAAAATAGAAAACGTGTTCAATAGAAACCTTGTAATGGTGTAAAAATCTATTAGCCTTTTATGGACCACCAGTGAACAAAACAGTCAAACATGTCGTGTAGTACGCGATATTCTGGATGATTCATCAGATGAGAAAGAATAAATATAACTGTGACATTACATTTGAAAAAACATGTCAAACACCAGACGTTTTCATAACATGGACTTGCTGAAATTCGTTGGATATTTTTAATTGAATCGTATGGATAATTGATGGCAGTTTTTTTCATAAACAATTTACACAACATTGCTTTCAGCTTGTCACAGAACCACATCTGGAGTTTGTTGGTTTTTCACGTGCAGCTTCATCTGACAAGCTGCAGATGCTGAAAATGCAAAGTGGTTCTAATTTGCTTTATTTTGAGATGTTTGACCTGTTTTTGTATCAGGTGCATAAACATCAGTATTTTGTATGTGATTTGTCACAACTACAACTGAAACACCAAATGGCTAAAATGTGTTCCAAACAGCAAATCAAACAATGGATGGAGTAAAGTGGATGAAAAAAATATGTACTAGCGCAGTAAATTCCTCTACTGATCGGTCTGTTGGTAATTTTCTGCATCAATCAAACAGTTGTTTGGTCTGTGATGATAGTTTACTGGCATAGAGGAGTAAAATATTCACATTTAAGATGCTGCAATCAGACAATTTGAACTTAAAAAAAAAAACAACAAAAAACATAAAATAAATACTCAAACTGAGGGACTAGCAAAATAGTCTGATTTATTTAATTGCAGTTGCAGTTCCTACATCTATTTGGACATATTTTCAAGAAAACTGACGTTTAAAAAAATAAAATAAAATAAAAAATGGGGACAACATACAAACTGTGTTAACACAAGATACACGAAAAACAAATTACACAAAGGCAGTAAACTCAACTGAATAAATGTGCTAAAAAATATCCATTATTGACGTTCAGCTTTTAGAAACCAGCATCTGTTTGGTGTCACAGCAGCTCAGGTGGAAGTTTCAGAACGAGTCTCAATCACAGTGTGTCTGTGAGTGCCATCGTCTTTGGATTCTTCTTCATCGAACAGACCAAACGAAAACCTTCTACGTCAGATGTTTGGACATTATTCCCCTGTGCTCATGAGTTGTCCTTTTGTGTTTTTCAGGGGCAGAGTACGAGCCATCCTACTTCAAACTGCAACATGACGGGACCACGGCTTGCTTGGCCACCGGTTTCAGCAGACACAATGCTGCACTTGGCCATCGTAACTACTCAAACCTTTTCAACGATTCTGAGGCTGTACGCATATCTCCAGACCTCGCTCTGTACAACCAGGTCATTTTTCTAGATGATGGTGAAGATGCATGTGAAGGTGAGCGGCTTTAAAGAGATTCAATGAAGTCAGCAAATGTGACGTGCTCACAGTTGAAACATTTTGGTTTAAATGAAAAAATTCTGTTTGTCTTTCAGAATCCAGTGGTGAAGATGTTCCATGTGTAGATACTATGTCACCAGGTAAGTGTTGAATCTGACTGGATGGGTAACTTTAGGCTCAGCTCATTTCACTAATTTCAGCCTCTTTGACCTTTAACCCTTTATAGAGCACTCACTGAAATACTATATGTAAAATTTCAGCCCTGGAGTGGTATTGGTGGATATAAGAGGACATTTTTTTTCTTTTTGACGTTTTTTTTTAAAAAAGTGTCCGATTTAGGCTACAAATTGAAGTCAAGGCAGTTACCGTATACGATTCCTCTACCACCTATGATTACAAAAAAATCCAAATAATATGTGGATAAATTATTGTAAAATATACACATAAAGATGAGAGGACATTTATTTCCAAATCACCAGTCAGACGTAAGGAAACTTAAGACTCTTGTGTCAAAATATCACTCAGGCTGACTCTGATTGGTCAGAGGTCGTAGTGACAGTGTTGTGATGGAGCCTGACCTTCACTGATTGGCTGGATGAAGTCACGTGATTCTGCCCCCTGCCATTTTTAAAGCCTGCGGAAGCTACCACATGTGGTTCTTTGCCCAATAAAGGGTTAAATCCTCAGTCCAGAAATCAGTCTTGGTGCATCCTAACAAGGGTCTCAGAATAAATATTGAGGATGGAGGAGGTGTGTTGTAGGAGCTATGAGGAAGGATGTGCAATTAGTCAAATGAGATAATGAGATCAGGGCTGTGGGCTTAAAATGCTTCTCAGGTTTAATCTTTGTGACGTGGCTGTTTGCAGATAAGACGGTGAGCATGGCATCTGTGGCCGTCCTGGGCTTACGAGTGATCCTCTTCAAGACCATTGTCTTCAACGTCCTGCTGACGATGCGGCTGTGGATCAGTCAGTGTGAGTATCAAAAAAAAGCTATGTGAAGCTTATCTCCCTCCATCTTGAGGAGTTCAGTTTGTCACCACTGAACACAAGACGCCCCCTCTGATTAACAACAGTCCTCTCCGCAAAGGAAAGGATTTCTAAAAGATTTTACCAGACATGGAGGCTGATGATTCCCTGCTCAAAACACGACCTTCTGATATTTTACAGACAGAATAACTAATCAGTAAAATAACTCACAGATGAACCGATGATGAAACTCTTCAGTTTTTAGATCGCTGTTCAGCTGCCGTGCAATTCCTGCACATGCCAGGAGTGAAGTGTTTGAGATTAAAAATCCCCCAGCAGGTCAAAGGGCATCGTCGCTGTGTTTCATGGTCGACATTTCATTTGTTAAGAGCTCCACCCTGCATGCTGACAGTATGGTTCTTTTACGTATGAAACCCCGGAAGTCTGAATCCGTGTTTTTGAGACCCGTCGTCGGTTCGCTGAAGCTTCAAGGCGGAGATGCTCAGCCGTTGCGTTCATTGATTATTTCATTCACGATCTTCCAGCATTTTAAAACACCATCTGGACATTTTAACAAGGTAAAAGAAAATTCAACCAAAACAAACAAAAAAAGGATTTTTTTTTACTAGAGGGTGACTTTAAAAACATTATATTTAGCATGCTAATAATGGCGCTAAAAACATGCTAACATGATAGCATAGGAGAGCTAGCGGTGCAGTGAACCAGAGGACATGTTGGTGGACTGCAGTTGTTCAACCAGATAAATAAAATCTGCAGATACACACTGAAACTGACGCTACCTGCAGCCTTTTTGGTCTACATGAGTTCTACATCAACATAAACAGCTACTGCTTGCAGCATATTACATACCCTGGTTCTTTTTTGCTTAAATTAGAAGAACAGACTTGGAGCAGATCAGCTGCACATATTATTATGATTTCTAAAAATACATCAAGTTAGTTTGGAGCCGACTGGTTTTGTTTCTCTGTGGGCAGCTTGCTTCTCTTTTTGGTCATTTTGCGTGTCTTTGTAATGGGTTGCCTTTCTTTGCCGCCATTTTGTGTCCCTTGGTTTTTTTTCTTTCGGAGTCATTTTGCGTCTCTCTGCTGTTGTTTTGTCTTTATGTTCATTTTGACTCTATTATTTATTGGTTTGCATCCACTTTATATCTAGTTTTTCATTTGAGTGTCCAAGAGTTGGTTGGTTCTGTTTTGTGTTTCTGTGTTTGTCTCTCTGTCGCCATTTTGACTTTTGATATTTGTTTTGAGTGATTCTGAATCTCTTTGCTGTGGTTTTTTTTGCCTGTCTGTGTTCACTTTGTGTCTCTTTTAGTCAGTTCTCTCTGGTCATTTTGCATCTAGTAATCCTTTTGTGTGTCTACGTGGTGATTTTTATCTTTTTGCACTGGATCACCATCTGTTTGTATTCTTTAAAAAAATAAAATCAAATATTGGTTCTTCTTTGTGTGGAGGCTTTGCATCTCATTTTCTATCTTTGCAGGTATCTTTCTCTTGCTGCTCTTTGTATTTGTTTTCAGTCATTTTGTGTCTCTTTGCTGCTGTTATTTGTTGTGTTTGACATGCTGTCAATTTGTCTGGAAGCGGCTCAGTTAGACTTGGAACAGTCCAAAATGGTTCACAGATAGTCTATTCCTCCTGCCGCCAAAAATAACGGATTAATCCTAGAAGGCTGGTAATGTGGCGTTCTTCTCCAAGTAGCAATCGAGCTACCGGACCACTTTTAGAATACAGACCTTAAACAAAATACTGAACGGAAACAGTGGCGTTGGAATAGATTTTGTTGCTCAGGGCTTTAGGTGAAAATGTGAAAATGCAGTTAAAAAAATTAAAAGTTTTTGATTTACAAAGTGGGTTTTTGTTTTGATGTAAATTTAACATTTTTTTTTTTTTCATATTTTATCTTATAGGAACCCAGCAAACCTTCACCAGAAAGAAGAAATCTCCATGATGAAGATGCACAGAACAGCCTGTTGATCCTGTGTTAGAACGTGTATAAATCTCACGTCAGCTGTTCGTCCCTGTGGACAGACGTGAAGCTTTCCTGTGTCACATGTAATGCTGATTATTTTTTGAAAAATAATAATTCATATTGTTGCTGTTTTATTCTTTCTGTCCTGATGATGTAAATATCACACTGACATTTAACACGCTGCTCTGTCATATCTGCTGTGTACAATAAAAACTGGAAAACGTATGGAGAGCGACTGCTGTGATTTTTATTGAGAGCTCCTGCTTTGCTTCTTCACTGTTTTGCTGCATCTATTAAAGAAACAATGACCTTATTACAGTGTAACATACAGAAAGCGTCCCTTTGACTCAAACAACACTGTTACTGTCGACACCAGGGGATCATGTTTGTCGTCCGTATGCAGCATGTTGCCCTGCAAAGTGACGTTACCAACATTTGTGGCCAGTTGTGAGTTTCCAAACATAGACATGTATATATGATGTGCATTATTTGACATGTGTGTAGCACACAGCCAATGAAAATCCATGTTATTCAAGTCCATTTGTCAATGAAAGCATGTGAATAAGTACTGGATATATTTAAACACTTTCACTGGCATGTAATGCTGTTTTATCCTATAAGACTATTAGCATATTTGTTGATTCTAAAATCTATACATCCCTTCTCTATCCTCACGAGGGCCCGGGGGGGGGGGGGCTGAAGCCTATACCAGCTGACTTAGGGTGAAGGCAGGAGACACCCTGGACAGGTCACCAGTCTATCACAGGGCTACACTTAGAGACAGACAACCAAGCACACTCACATTCACACCTACGGACAATTTAGAATCACCAAGTAACCTCAACATGTTTTTGGACTGTGTGGGGGGAAGCCGGAGAACCCGAAGAGAACCCACGCTGCACGGGGAGAACATGCAAACTCCACGCAGAAAGATCACGGTTGTCCTCACCGGGACGCGAACCAGCAACCGTATAGCAACGGTACTAACCACCCTTGCTACATATATATATACATATATATAAAATCTAAACTGTGCACTAAAACTTTTACCATATTGTAATAAATATTGTCCTGTAGTCGAACAGGTGACTAACACAGTCTGTATTAACCGGTTGCTGTAAAAGACTTTACATATAACACTTGCTACAAATCATATTTATTTCCATGATAACTTCAGATATTAATGATTTATTACAATTTTAATCTAAATAAGGCTGAACAATTTGTAAAAAAATATCTACTTTTCTCTGACAGGTTGGATTTGCAATTTTATTTTATTTTCCAAATCAAGCTTCAGTTCAATAATCACTGCAATAGATTTTTTTTATTTATTCATTTTTTTTAAAGAGCATTACCAGGAGGCACCATCCAATGTGTAACCGTCACACAAGAAGCACGGCAGCAATTTATATAATCATCACACAACAGTTTTAATTGCAGCATTAGAGTATTTAACATCCTCGTATGTCCTACACTACAGCTTTTGTGATTTGCTATTTCCTTGAGTCTCACCCTCTTCAAGGTTCTAATCCTTTTTATTGTCATTAATCATATACTTCCATACACACAACAAAATTATCGTCAGAAGTCTCGTCTTCCAGCAAAAGAAAAAAGGCATAAAAAGACAACCAGTATAAACACAAACATTACTTAAATATAATAAATATAAACACTTTGACCGTTTGCAGAGAGGATCAACATTCATAGTAAGAGACTGGAGGACTGTTTATAAGCTTGGTGTCACTGGACACTGCATGTCATTTTCATGAATTTTGAATGCAGCAAAATTCGCTGCTTTTAAAATATGAAGGTAAAATGATGGCTGAGACAGCTTTCTTAAATGATAAAGCATATTAAGATGTTTTAGATGGTTTCTGACTTTGCAAACATTATCAGCTTAACATGCTCTAATTTTAATAGAAAAACAATTTTGTTTCACTGATCAAAAGTCACACTGCTGTCTGGACAGCTTCAGCACTGTTCACTTGTAAAAAGCAGGAAGATGTAACATGGAATGAAAGGCTTTGGAGAATAAAGAGCTTTTTTCATTTGTTTTAGGAGAATCTTGAAAAAATAAGAATAAAAGGTATGCTTAAATCCTGAAAAACACACACAATCCTGTGTCTTATGCGTATAAAATATTATGATAGGTCAAACCGGAAGACTGGCTGGCAGGTTGTATTTCTGTTTGTTTGTTTAATGATGGCACACATTGTTGGATTTTTAACTTTCCAGCTGTCGTCGAACTAATCATTCATCTTGTTTTGTCTGGAAAAACAACAGGGTTTAATTTTGATAGTTTGTCATAATGTTTCATCAGAATAAATTCATTTTTCATTTAGAAATTGCCATAAATGAACCATTTGGACCAGATCCTTTTAAAGCCTAAAAATTCTATAAGCGGCTCCGCAGTCACATAACAAAACAATAAGAGGATTTGTGTATTGTGTTTGCACAGAGCAAATAAAAGACAATATGGGCAAAAATTGAAAATGCAAATAATGAAATATCTATAGCATGGCCTCGCAGCAAGAAGATTGCCGGTTCGCGTCCCGGTGGGGGCACCGGAATCTTTCTGCGTGGAGTCTCCATGTTCTCCCCGTGCAGCGTGGGTTCTCTGGCTTCCTCCCACACAGTCCAAAAACATGTTGAGGTTAAATGGTGATTCTAAATTGTCCGTAGGTGTGAATGTGAGTGTGCTTGGTTGTCTGTCTCTAAGTGTAGCCCTGTGATAGACTGGTGACCTGTCCAGGGTGTCCCCTGCCTTCGCCCTAAGTCGGCTGGGATAGACTCCAGCCCCCCTGCAACCCTAATGAGGATTAAGCGGTGTATAGATAATGGATTGATGGATCTATAGCATGTAGTTCTAGCAGGATAGACCTGTGTACCTCTGAAGTAGTTTCCAGAGGTGGACATTACTGAGCTATCAGGTGAGTGTACACCTGGTCTGGCTCTAAGCCCCGACACATAGTCATCACACCTGTGGGCAGCAAAATGTTGTACTTGTTCATTTTAGGGTTGTTTGATTTTTGTTGAATAAATACCCATTGAAATGTAACTTTTCTTTTTTCTTTTTCATGATAATGGCATTTGTTGTTGTCATTGAGCACAGAAGACACTTCTGAGTTCCTTCTCTGTCGTCATGGTTGTTTTGTTTCCATAGAGGTGCAGGACTATCAATTGCAGTGAAAAATGAGCCCACAGTGAGAACAATATGGAAAGAGCAGAAAAACATTCAGAAACTGAGTTTTGCTAAAAATAACTCATGTTTCCGTGGGTCAGCATTTCAGAAAGGCACTCAGACATGCTCCTCTTAGGTTGAGAGGGACTCATCACTCGTGTAACCCCAGAAATGAAGAAAAAGCTTCAAACATATTGAGAAATTGCTGTTTTTTAATCCACGCTATCATCTCTACATAAAGCCAGCGAAGCAGCAAATGAAAGCAAAACTAAGAGTGAAAAAAGCTAATTGAATGATAGGAGAAGTACGTCTGGATATAACGGTGATGGTAATGGTGGCCGCTCTTGCCTCCTCCAGATGTGAACTATGTTGCTCTTTATACAAAAACACTCACATATGTCATCTTGGGAGTTATTGCAAAATCCACATATTTTGTTATTTAGGTGCAAGGATGTGCTGAATATTGTTGATGTAGAGTATAAATCCTATTAGATTTCAGTGGCAGGAATCACACAGGTGGAATTTTAATCAGGTTCACTATCAATGAAGTGTCTCAGAAAGGAAGATGGACACCTAAAATTTGAACTTTCAGAAGTCTGAATGTTCTTATGCTCACTCAGACTGAGCTATGATGTGGACACTTGTTGGTGCCGTATTTGGAATAAAACTTGAAACTGAAATATGTGCACACTATATTTTGCATGCAGAAAATATTCCACACACAAATGAAGGGTGCAATACAAGATATTTTCTGCTAATATGCTGAGAGAAAAAGAACAAAGGGAAGAAATAAAAACACGGGTGACCACCAACGTCTGAATTTAAGAAATTTAAAATTGTAAGCTGATAGAACTTAGAACAGCCTATACAGCTGTTTGGTTTGTTCACTGATTCAGTGTGTTGTTAGTTTCTTCTCATCATCACCACATTTAGGACTGCAGTGGAAACACTTGACTCGGGCTGTGACATTTTGCTGTTACGTATCATTTACTGGGCTTTATAGATGTTACTGGTTCCTCCTCTGCTTTCCCTGCTGAGAGTCTGTACTGATGAGACAGTGAGAAAACAATTAACTGAGTCATTTATGGAACAAATTCTCTAAATGTTCATGCTCATTTCCTCTAACAGGTTGGCAGTTTAACTTGAGAGACTCTCATCTCAGCTCTGGTTTACAGATCTGCTCCGCTATGCTGCAAAGACACTTTGAGTTGCCATTCAGCTCATCTTCCACCTACAATCTTTGTATCTGTGCTGTTTGCTGCCTTTTAACTGATTTAATTCACCGTGATCAGTGAAAGCACCATAGATGTAAGCCTGCATTCTGCTGATGCTGAAGGCAAATGACGGATTAATAAACAGACTGTGCAGTAATCAGTGTTTGCGATCTGCAGAGCTGCTCAAACTAGAACAAGCTGCGATTCTGTCTGTGGTTTCCTGTTATTTTCTGCTGCACAAAATTCACCAACAAGACAAGAATGTGTGTGTATGTGTGTGCTCGCTGTTACACTTCCTTCTTTGTGATCGTTAGACCTTTATATCGAGGACATGTTAACATGAGCAATACGTTGAAATAATGGCTAGAAGTGTGTATGGGCAAGTGCTGCAAAATGAATCCCTTATGAGCTTTTTCTTGCAGAACATTCAAACAGTTCAAATTGAATTTGAAAGTAGATCCTTTGTTAAACCTAAATGATAATGGGAACATAAGAAAACCCACAGTAAACCAACAGTCACACTGACATTGAGAAGAATTTACATATGATGTCTCTGTGTGATCTATACAGAACTAACAAGAAATAAATGAACCAAATTATGTCAAAGTACAAAGTCAGTCTGCAGGTGGAAGTATTTACATTTTAAAAGCACATTTCTCAGTTTCCTCAGAATCATAAGAAATAAAACAAATTGTCATCCTGTTGAACCAGAACAGAGACAAACACAAACAGGGTCACTGACTGGTTGAAACACCCAACTAAGATAAGGAATAATCCTCTGTCTTGGTCATTACATTTACTTTGTGTAAAGCATCAGTTCCAACTGGC